TAGTGGACTCTGGTCTCCTCCATGAGAACACGTGAACAGAACCTAGTGGACTCTGGACTGGAAATAAAGGAACCAAAGAACCTCAGGGATGAAATGACTTCACTGAGTTCCTGCTGTGGAGCCTGAACTTTAACGTCGTGAATCTAAATTGGTAGTTTGTAATCCGACACCAGATACTCTGCTGTTAGGAGTAATCTGATTACTGTGCTGCTGCTTCACTGTACACTGTGTTTGTGTCTCAGCTCCAGAAGGCCATCGAAGGCTCCACTCGCAGCGGCGTGAGGCTCCGTCCTCCCCTCGCCAGCTTCAGAGACGCCAGCAGGAAGGCCAAGAAGCACCAGCCTCCCTCCTCCACGCCCTCCTCCCCCACCAGGGACAGAGACCTGTGGGGGGAGGGTGAGCTGGTGAGGAAGGAGTCCAAGGAGGAGTCGAGGGGGAGGACCTCCAGAGGAGCTCCAGGGCCGGACGCCGCTCCGTCCTCCCCCAGCAGCGCTGCCGCCGACGGGGCCGAAGGCAGCACCCAGGAGGCGGCCTCCCCCTCCACGTCCTCCCCTACCTCACCCCCCGCCTCCCCCAGCAGCCCCGTGCTCACCCTGTCCTCCCTGCAGGAGGAGAGGGAGAGCGAGGAGTCCGACGAGCCCATATAGGAGGACTTGAACCTACAGACTCTCAGACGCTCGGCGGACTCTTAGGACGCTTTTTTCTACTCGACAGTCTCACTTTTTCACTCTTTGAATCTCAGGTGTCTCCTGTGTCTTCTGACCTGCATCGCTGATGTTGGTCCACATCTGGAAGCTGCCGGTCCCGGTCCGGACTGGCAGCCGTTCACCCTCTCAGCACCCCGGAGCAGCTCGTAGCAGCAGATTATATGTTAACGAATATCGATGAATGAATCTGACCGAGAGGTCGCAGAGATCACGCTTTGAAAGTTTACTGATTGACGTTAATCTCAAATGACATTTATCATATGTTTCCTGTATGGTAAAGATTTAAATCATTATTACCAGTTTGTAATTTTTAAAAATAATAAATGATAAAATTATCGTCTAATTTATTTGATTTATTTAATAAAACTCTACGCTACACTGTAAAAAAAACTAACTGTAGGTTTTCTGTTTGGTTTTATTTAAAATGTAATAATTAGGGAACTTTTTCTTGGATGCAGTTTATTCTCCTTCATACGTAGCAAGGAAAGAAGAAAACGTTTTTTTATTGGTTGAGGTTTTTGTGCTGCTGTCATCTTTGGAAACGTCTTTTTCTGGATTTGGATCCACTGAGTTTGGTCCAGACTGGAAAAAGCAAAATGAAAACCCAGTGAATAGAAAGAGCTGCAGGTGAAGGTGAACGCCGCTCGTAGTTGTTCCATAATGTTTAACGAAGCTTAACTTAAATGATAAATAAACTTGACCTGAAGAGGAAACCAGAACGTTCTGAAACCCGAAACTACCCGAACGACTCGTCTGTGACGCGCGACTCAATCTGAAAATGAACCGAATCTGAGCTTCAAATCTTGACTTTTCACTTCATCGCTTAATTTGCCAAACATTGAACATTAAAAAAATTAAAAAGTTAATCATTCTGCATTCGTCGGTGCGGCTGCAGGCAGTGAGAGGAGATGAGTGTGGATTTAAGAATGTAAATAGTTTACAGCATGTTTATTGGTATCGGTTACGGCTGTGGGATGAAAAAACAGCCGACATGTTGACTACAGGTTAGTTTGTGTTGAACAAATAATCAATGAGCCCACAGTAAGGAAAAATCTAACACCCAGGAACACGTACATCTAATGGTTCTAACTCAAAAATGTCACGCGAGAGTGTAGCTTCAGGTGTTCGGGTTCATCCTCTGGGGAACGCGAACGTTTGTGCAAAATCTCACAACGACTTGTTTACTAACGGTGGAGATAAACTGGACCAAAGCGGCGGATCGAACCAACTCGCTGCCTGCGAGGGTTCATGAAACATCAGCTCGACAACAGAGAACATCTCTGAGCGAATCGCGACGTGGTTTTTTTTTGGCGATGTGAAGGTCAGCGGCGTGTTTCGGGCTCCGATTCCTGTGTGGGCGCGAACAAACAAGCGGCGAGTCCCTGCAGAGGAGGCCTGTCTGCCAGAATTTGTCATTAATATTCTCCTTGCATGAAATCCCCGATAAGCGGCGGAGAGGAATGTTTGTGGAGGAGCCTGACAGGCCGGATTACTGCTGCAGCTCCTCGCCGAGTCCTGTTTGTCTATCAACCGGCTGTCTGCCGCAAACATGGTAAGAAAAAAGAAAGAGAGAGCGGTAGGACATGTGTGAAGGCTCCTCCTGGAGAAGAACATGTGAGGATCTAATCATCTGCGAAAAGACATCCACACGTATACTGTTTGTTGGTTTGTTTATTTGCTCTTTCTCCACCAGAGGAAAAAAGAAGAGGAGACGGCAGAGGAGCTGAGAGTGTGGAGGAGGTTGTGTCGTGCAGGAAAACAACAGGAGAACAGAAACAGAAGAGGGGAGGAACCACGTGGAAGAACCATCCCGTGACAACCGGTCCAACAAGCATGCATAGGTGTGAGTGTCCGGAGGGGCCACGCCGCCTCGGCTCCGACAAATAAACCCAATTTAGATGCGGACTTTTACAGAAAGCCATCCAGTTTTCTTACACAGCGTTTTATACAGCAGGTAGTTGTTTTTTTTGTTTTTTTGCAACACACTTCCAAATTAAACTGCTCCAAATTGATTGATGAGATATTTTTATGTTGTTTTTTGTTTTTTTTTCCAGGCAGTGATTCTTCCAACAAGACAGCAGACAACTTACTGTACAGACAGACGGACACACAGACGGACACAGATATACAGAACGGATACGAGGAGATACGAGGAGGAGGAGGAGGAGGAGGAAGAGGAGGAGGGAAAGGCAGAGGAGAAGCAGATTTGGAGCATCATGCCTGCAGACGGTAACTCTGGAAGATGGCAGTGGGGTCATACAAAAGAAACTGTCGGTTAACAAAGATCAGTAAACCTTAACATCCACAGAAATATATTTGGCTTCTTCTTATTCGTTTATTCATTCATTGAGATTTTGATCAAAAAAAAAAAAAAAAAAAAAAAAAAAAAGGAGAAGAGTGTTTAAAAAAAAAAAAAAAAAAAAAAAAAAGCAGTAAAAGAACCCAAAGAGTTCATTCCAGGAAAAATCAACCTCCAACCTGATTCTGGTTCTGCAGAACCTTTATCTACTGACCAGAGTTCTGCCTCCAGACTGTGAATGTTCCAGAGGTCCAGGTCCTTGAAGTCCACAGAGGAGGGTCCAGATTGATCACTTTAATGGACTCATTCCATCATTTCTGAGCCTCAGAACTTCATCAGATAGATACATGACATGCAAGAGGAACACATCTGGGTTCTGGTAGAACCTGACACCAGATCAACACAAAACGATGCAAAATAACCACAAAAGAGGCAGTAAAAGACTAAAATTCACCACAAAAACACGCAAAATCACCACAAAAAGACACAAAATCATTTCAAAAAGTGTTGAAACTGCAACAGAGGCATCCAACCAGACGTCATGTTCTAAAGACAAATCTGTTTTTTTTGTTCATTTTCTCTAAAACCAACCAACTACAGTTAAACTGAAAATTAATGTACTACAGCAGGAATCCTGTCTGTAGATGGTCCTGGTGGGTTCTGGAGGTAAAACGGTCCGTCCATCGTCTAGAACTGGTTCTGACCAACCATCAACATGCTGGCATGAGCCTGGAAAGTTTACCCAGAATGCACTTTGTAAAGTTTCCTCTGGTGAATGATCAGAACCAGAACCACATCCAGGGTACCAATGATTGTTTCTATGACTCTGTGTCATAGACATTAGACTGTTACTACGACGATACATCCCACAATACTGATGCTCATAGTTGGTTGTAGTGAAAATGAACAAAAACCAGATTTAGTGTCAGACTATGACACCTGGATGGATGTAAAGTTCACCCTAAACCCTTCTTGTGTAAATTTCTGTCCTTTTTGTGGAGATTTTTGAGTCTCTGTTGTAATTTTAACTCCTTTTGTGATGATTTTGTGCCTTTTTGTGGTTGTTTTGAATTGCTTTTGTGGTAATTTTTAGTGTTTTGGGGGGAATTTTACCTCCTGTTGTGGTTATTTTGCATCATTCTGTGGTGATTTGGTTGCAGTTTTACCAAAACTCAAATGTGTTTTTCATCCTAAAATAATGTCATGTGTCCATCTGCTGTACTGATGAAGTTCTGAGGCTCAGAAATGATGGAATGAGTCCATTAAAGTGATCAATCTGGACCCTCCTCTATGGACTTCAAGGACCTGGAACTCTGGAACATTCACAGTCTGAAGGTAAAACTCTGCTTTGTTTAATAAAGTTGCTGCAGATACAGAACCAGCTGATTCTTTAGTCAGATTGGTTTTTATCAGGAATGAGCCCAAAGTGAAGCAGTGTCTTTTCTGGTTTAGTGTTTCCTGAAACAGTCGAGCCCAAATAAACCGCGATGGAGCGTCCATCAGCGGGTGTAAAGCCACAGTCTTTCCTCCACATCTGGCTCAGAAACAAAACTGCTCCCAGAGGATTCAACAAATCATAGACTCTGTACACGCTGTCGCATCATTCCTCCCCACCAAGTAATTGTTCAATAAATAAATTAATATGTGCCGCCGTGTAAAGATGGCCTGTTTGCAGTTTTGAGCCCTCTCAGCTTGAGTCTCTGAAGTGGATGATGTTAAAAACTGAGAGCTGCCCAACTAGCTGTTCATCTGAAGGGCTCAAAACCGGCAGAAACCGAGCAGCTTTAGCACCGTGGCACCTATCCTAACTTATACCGGAGGGGATTTCAACAAGTCAGTAGAAAAATAAACATTGTCCCCAACATTGCATAAAGAAGCAATCAATAAATAAATTCATTCAAGTCAATAAACCGGAACTTTGTTGTTGTTGTTGTTTTTTTTTTAAAGTTTCTCACACAATCATCAGTGAGAGGAGGCGGTTCTCCCCGACAGAAACGGTGGTTTTGTGTTCGTAGTGAGTCATGCACGGAGGAAAAACGCCGACGATTCCTCCTCGGAAAGTGACGGAAATCCCAAACGAAGCCACGTTCCTCCAGACAGCGTCACTCTCGCGCTGCTTCACAGTAATAGCGCTGAGCGGGAAGACACCCATCGGCTCCACAGTTCAGTCTCCTGTTCCCTGATTGGCTGATCGACCTGCGATCGCGTTCCTCCGGCGATCGATCAGCCTCCGGTCCGAGTCTGTTCAACATTCCTCTTATAGGAGAAAGAAAAGACGAGATTCGGGCCCAAACCGTGAGCTTGGTCCCAACGCAAAGCGGGACTGAAGAGGTGTAGAAAAATAAAGAAATCATACAGTAATAAACAGCTGTGACTGACTGAGTGGAGGCGACTTTATATATCAGATATTTACATCGAACAGCAGCCGACAGCAGCTGGTGGAAGCTGCTGAGCTGCTGCCTATTGCTGGTTACAATTTAGATATTCGTGTGTGTTTGCGTGGAACCCGTCGACACCAAACAACGTTCTCACGCGACTGAACTGCATTCTCGTTTGTATTTTCCCCTCAAAACATAAAAAGACTTTTCAGTTGTTCGTTAAGGAACACAGCATGGTTACGTTCTGCAAGTTCTGCAAGTTCTGCAAGTTCAACCTCAACTAGAACGGCTCCCTTAGTTCCCTCAGTGTTCTTCTTAAAGCGTCGGCCAACTAAAGACGTTCTAGAAATGTCTGGCATCAACATTGTCAAACTGCTTCGCTCTAATGTTCTCAAAACTGACTGTTGCACCGAGAATGGTGTTCCTTCGTTATCACAGAACATTGTGGGAACGTTTTATAGACTCTGTAATGTGTTCCCTCAACAGCATCCCCCAGAGTGATTCTCATAAAGAACGTCTGTCATCTGATTTCTTGATAACATCAGGAAAACATTTTTTAATGATGTTTTGAGAACGTTCTTCCTCCGTGTTTTACAGAAGGTTCTATCATATGTTCCGTCAACAACATCTGCAGAACATTGCAGTCAGAATGTTCCACCTTTGTTGATACATCGCAGTAAAGGAGCATCTTATAGAGAACGTTCTGTCATCTGAGGTCTCAATAACATCCGGAAAAACTTTTTTGAATGTTGGTTTGAGAACGTTCTTCCTCCCTGTCTTACAGAAGAACATTCTATACTGTGTTCCATCAGCAGAGTATAGAATGTTCTATAATATGTTCCCTCAACAACATCCTCATAACTTTGCAGTCAGAGTGTTCCACCTTTGTTAATATATCGCAGTAAAGAAACGTCTTACAGAGAACGTTCTGCCATCTGAGGTCTTGTTAACATTTAAAACGTTCCCTGGGTGTTGCATGGAGAACATCTTTCCTTTGTTATCACTGTGAAAACATTTTATGGTTCTATAATGTGTTCCCTCAACACAAAGGCAAAATGTTCCACTCTCAATATGTATCACATTACAGGAATGTTATAAAACGTTCTGTATATGTATGTATATATATTTTTTTAAAACCGTTCTGTCATCTGAGTTCTCGATACCAGCTGGAAAATGTTTTGTGAATATCGGTTTGAGAACATGATTGCTTCCTGTTTTATAGAAGAACGTTCTATAATGTGTTCCATCAGCAACATCCTCAGAACATTGCAGCCAGAATGTTCCACTTTTGTGTTAATATCATGTTACAGGAACGTCTTGTAGAGAACGTTCTGTCATCTGAGGTCTCGATAACGTCTTAAAAAAACGTTTTTGGAATGTTGGTTTGAGAACGCTCTTCTTTTGTTGTCATGTAGCACTGTGGAACATCATCGCTTCAATAATCTGTTCCCTCAACAACATACTTAGAACATTACAGGCAGAATGTTCCACCAGAATGTTCTGTCATCCGAGGCCTCAATAACGTCTGAGAACATCTTTTGAACATTGGTTTGAGAACATTTCTCTTTCGTTATCGTAGAACATCATCCGTGTGTAAAACATTACGTCAACTTCATCGGAACATTATTGGAAATGGAAATGTTCTCAAAACATTTGAATAAAACATTTTCTTGAAAAAGGATTAGAACCTTAATATAACTTAAATTGTGTTTTCTGGGCTACCATGGTGACTGCCCCATCTGCCATCTGATTGGTTGGCAGTAACATGACATATTTGTTATGATTCGTCACAAACTAACGTACTCCAGGAGAAACTGAGAAAGCAGTTCAGTCGTATAAGAACGTGTCTTTGTGTAGACAGTGTTGGTGTGTGTGTGTGAGTGTGTGTGTGCATGTGTGTGTGCATGTGTGTGTGTTGAGGTGAGCCAGCAGTGAATCCGTTTCCCAACACGTTCCTTAGTCTCTTAGGAAATCTCTTGGTTCTGCCCATGTGGACCATCAGAAGCAGCCCAACCGTCCGTCCTCCGGTACATTCAGAGTAGTGGTTATCGTCCTGCGTCTGTGGAACAAAAAGCAGCTGAGGGTTCGTGTTGTTAAGTGGCTCGGTTTTGGTTGTCGGTGGTGCTGAAAGCTTTCAGAGTGGGAACTGGGGAACGTCAACAGTCCAAAGGCAGCCTCTGATCTGTTGGATTGCATCAGTGCAAAAGAGATTCGCATATGCAGCTCTGACTTTACGTCTCCGTCAGGAAACCTGCAGGCTTGAGCCCAAAACAGGCCCCACCACAGGTCCACCACAGGTCCAAAGAAGACCCACCTCTGACCCAAAGTAGACCCACCTTAGACCCAGAGTAAACCCACCTCAGAACCAGAGTAGATCCACCCCAGACCAAAAGTAGACCCAACTCAGAACCAGAGTTGATCCACCTCAGGTCTAGTGCAGGTCGACTACAGGTCAACAACAGGACCAAAGTAGATCCACTTCAGGCCCAAAGTAGACCCACTGTCCAAAGCAGATCCAACTCAGGACTAAAATGTAAACCCACTGCAGGTCTACCACAGGTCTAAAACATGGCCCCATCACAAGTCCACCCCAGACCCAAAGTAGACCCACTTCAGGCCCAAAATAGAGTCAATCCAGCTTAGGTCTAGTGCAGGTCCACTACAGGTCAACAACAGGACCAAAGTAGATCCACCTCAGGCCCAAAGTAGACCCACATCCGAACCAGACTAGATCCACCTCAGGCCCGGTGCACGTCCACTGCCGGTCAACAAAAGGACCAAATTAGGACCAAAGTAGACCCACCTCAGGCTCATCTAAGGTCCAAAAAAGACCTGCAGTGGATCCATCACAGCCTCAAAGTAGACCAACCTCAGACCCAAAGAAGGACCAAAGTAGACCCACCTCAGGCTCATCTAAGGTCCAAAAAAGACCTGCAGTGGATCCATCACAGCCTCAAAGTAGACCAACCTCAGACCCAAAGAAGGACCAATTCAGGTCCACTTCAGGCTCAACATACACCCACCTAAGGTCCAAAGTAGACCCACCTTGGACCCAAAGTAGACCTCCTCCAGGCCCAGTGCAGGTTCACTGCAGGTCCATCCCAGGCTCACCGTAGGCCCAAAGCAGACCTACTGCAAGCCCAAAGTAGACAAACCTCAGGCCCCATGTAGACCCCCTCTGGTCCACCTCAGGCGGGCCACACCTGGGATACTATGGTTCAGTGCAAAGTCTATACAGTGCCGTATAGTACGGGTACTCCGCAGTACTCTGAACAAACATGCATACAGAGTCGGAGCAGGAAGCACACTGTGGACAGTACAATCCTTATCTGTGCAGGTTCAGAGTGTGCAGTCAGCAGGGCGGTTCTGACCCGTGTTGTGCATCGGGCCTCTCACGCAAGAATCTATTTTTTTTTTTTCTGCATTTCACTGAAATGCTGACATTTTCCGTGAAGTTGCTCGGGTTGCCATTAGTAACATGTGTGTTTGATGGGAATGAGTCGGATTAAACACTACCTAAGGTGTGGAGTAACAGCTGTAAACAGAGGAGTCCTCCCACAGGAGAACTGGGATATCTTATCATACACTTATACATAGATTCTTGTTCTTTTTTTTTGTTTGTTTGTTTTATTACAAAATTATTCTTATTATAATGTTTTATTATGTAGATTTTTCATTATCATTATAAGACAGGGTCGAGTTGCTTGTCTCCATAAAAAGCATGCATGTTTCCGTTCCTCCTGGTCTCAGTGTGGTTCATTCCCTGATGGAAATGCTTCAGTCCTCCTCCATCCTCACTCTTCCGTTACCTTTGGGATGTAAGGCTTAAGAGAAGCACGTGTCCTCCGTTTCATCCGTCTCATAGTGAGTCAACATCTGAAGGATTCCCTCGCAGCCAAACTCGTGTTTTTGATACCTGAACGGACAGATTAATAGATATATATTGTGTTATTACGCTCATTCCTCGCTGACTCCGGGTCAGTTTGTACTCCGAGTCTCCTGACAGACAGGAACTCAGTTGGTTGCCATGGAGGCGGCCGGCCCCTCCTCCTCCTCCTTCCTCTCCTCTAGTGTCTGAATGAGGCCCAAGGTGACATCAGAGGCCTTCCGCTCCGTGATTGGCTCTGCCGGCGGTTGCCCCGGACTACTGCCTCCGGAGGCGTCCCCTTGTTGCGTGGGCGGAGTCAACGTGGCCGACTCAGGCTCCACGCACAGCGTCACGTCTTCCTCCTGATCAGGACAGAAGCAGCAAACACAGAAGCAGTCAGTGGAGGTCACAGAGAGGCGCTGAGGATTTTACATATATACACATATAAATTAGAAGTTAGAAATCAGCAGTGTGGCTTTTAAATCTATATTTTTTACAGGGTGAATGCTCAGCTTAATGAAAATCAAGTCAGATTAATTGCTAATAAAGTCACCTCACTACTATTTTATATATTTAGATTTTTCGTGCTATATATATATATGTACATATACACATATATGTGCTATAGCTGCATCTGCATTTACATTTCATGATAAAATTAATATTTGAGATTTTAAATGACTGAAAACAAAAGAGCTCCGAGTGAATAATCAATTAGCAAAAAAAATCACATCAGATTAATTGCTAATAATAATTCTTAGCAGCTGAAAGAAAAACAACTGAAACTGCTGTTCAGAATTGTTATATAAATTTACATTATTTAATACTTCAATTAAAAAAAAGTTTGCATAATTGTGTAATTTATAATTCATGATAAGGAAAATTATTAATAAAGAATTTAAATACCTAAAAAAAAAAAAGAGCTTAGGAAAAAAAGTGATTGGGGGATAAATTAGATTAAAATACATATAATTTTAATGTTTTTCTGCATACAGATATATTCATATGTGGTGCCACTAGAATGCTTTAACTAATGTAAAGAATATGTATATGTCAGTTTTTATCCCATCAGCTACATTACTATGTCATCCTGCACATGCTTATGGATTTATTTTCCAATTTGAAGGATGCTTCACTGATCAGCCAGATGTAAAGGTCTGGTTTGAAGTTGTTCTGGAGCTTTTGACTGTTTCACACAGTTAGTTTTCCTCAGCAGATGTAATCATTCTTCTCATCAGTGTTGGTTCAAATGTTCAAATGTAACCTTAGAGACAGCTGCTGTTTCCAAGGTCAAGAGCAAACTTTTATTCTCACATTAATCCGACTAAGATCAGTCGGTGTTTAATGTATCTGTGGTTATTTTCTTTGAACCAGTCACACGGTGATGCAGCAGCAGGTTTGCATTCATGAGCTGCAGCACATTTTGGTGAAATGAACCCACAGACGTCATGAAGCCGAAGCTCCCTGCCACATTTCACCGGTTAAAAAGGGTTTTCAAAGCATCCCTTTCACAACTTTCACACAGTATCTCTCTAAAAGTAAATGCTGTTTGGGGTTTGGTTTGCTGCCATCAGTTTGGACATTCTCCAAAGCTCTCCCCTCTCATTTTCTGCCATTTGTGGGCAGCTGGCTGGAGAATGAAGGCAGGAAACACCGAAAACTCCTTTAAATATTTGTTCACAGCAAGTTCTTATAAAAGATAAAATGTTGGTGTTATCAAATATTACGGTCTTTGTTGTCACAAAACAGCAGCCAGAAGCCCAAATAAATGTAATTTACAGGTCATAAATCAAACACAAGCTACAAATCCTCATGTTACTCAATAAAAATGATCAAAAATGTGGATTGATCAACGAGTTATTCCAGCACTGACTCTCCCCACGCTGCATGACCTGAACCGACCGAGACTCCACATCGCTGAGTCACTCTCACAGCTCATAACACGGAAAGTTAATTAGACAGAGTTTGAATCTGACAGGATTAAACCACCTGTGTTCTGCTCCTCTGCAGGTTCAGTCTTCAGTAATGAAGCCACATGTTCTCCTCACCTTGACCTCCTCCTCCTGCTGCTCCAGCAGCGGTGAGTGTTCCGTTCCCACCAGCTCGTCTCCGGAGGGAACGCACAGACTGGGCTCCACCACCGCCGCCACGCCCATGTAGCCCCCGGCCTCCGCCTGGTAGGCCTCCATCTGCCCCGTGTTCCACAGGTCCACCAGCGGGGGGTGGACCTGGTGCACCAGGCTGTGGATGGTGCTGTTGGGCGTTGCTTGCAAAGAGTGGTTGGCGCTGTGCAGCCGGTGCTCCAGAGACTGAAACACAAGGAAGACGGTGAGCAGAGACAACAGGGAGCCGGCGTCTGTCACCTGTAACTGACATCGTGTTGCAGGTGACAAACGTCAAGCAGCATCAGGAAACACAAGAAAACAGCTCAGTGAGAAGACGAGGATCCGCGAGCCACCTGCTGCTGCTCTGTGCTCAGCAGCAGGTGAGCTGCTCTTTCTGACTGAACATGAGCTTGAGGCTCATCAAATGAACCCTCTGAGCTTCAAGCAGCTTCTGTCACAGTTTTTCAATCAAAGTTGACTCATGGAAGCAGCACAACCGTGACTACAAGTCGTCAACTACTTTGATAATCGATGAGTCAGTTTGAGTCATTCTTAATGAAAACAGTCTCAATTCTGTGATCGCGGCTTCTTCAATGTGAGTGTTTTCATTTTTTTCCTCCTTTGTGTCAACAAGCTGAGTATCTTTGGACACAACAAGACATTTGAGGAAACATGGATCCACATTTTCTGCTATTTTAGAGACCAAACAACCGATTAATAATCCATAAATAATCTTGATAACAGTTAGTTGCATCTCTGAGCATCATGCAGCCTCCAGTGTGTCTAAACTCATGCCGACAGACTCCAGCTGCCGTCGGTCCGTCACCTGTTGTTGCTGATACTGCAGCAGCTGCTGTTGCTGGTAGTGCTGGATCTGCTGGATCTGCTGCAGCTGCTGCAGCTGACTCTGCTGCTGGAGGTTGAACTGCTGCTGCTGCTGCTGAGACAGGAAGTGAGCCGCCGCCGCCTGGCCGTCGTAGCCGTCCGTCCCCATCACGTAGGAGCCAGTAGGGGGAGACGCCACACCGGAGGGATCGCTGCTGATGGGCTCCCAGGCGTCGGAGGAGGAGAGGCAGTAGTGGCCCTGGGAGACGTATGTGTGAGGCCACACCTCTGCTGAGGAGTGGTGCAATATCTGATCTGGAAAAGATGAAAAATTCAGCAGCTGCTATTAGTGCTCCTCAGAGTGGGAGAGCAGATGGATGCAGGAACACTGAGGCAGCCGGTCACGACTCTGCACGAGCACAAAAGACTCAGTCCTCTCGATGTGATATCAATAAATAGAAAACCAGGGGAATCTGGACGTCAAGCTGCAGATTTTTTTGGCTCCTTCTCAGGACATTTAGTCTGCATTTGTCTGGTAAAACACCTGCATGTAGGTTGTTACAAATGCCTCTAATGACTAACAGCTCCGGCTAATTCTAGTAGTGCAGGTCGAAGTAGGTCTGACTGAGATCCAGCTCAGCAGAAAAGCCTCCACATCGGCTGAATAAGTGTTTTGACAGAAACTCTCCGGTATGAATACAGTTCGAACGCTGACACACCTTCACTGTTGAGTCATCACTCCTGTCAAACCGTATAATGCAGACGCAGCCTTGATGCTGTTCAGTGGTTCTGTCTCTCCGGAGAGAAAAATGGGCTCAAGAGTAAACACAGCCACATATTATCCTCCGGTTTGTTTGACTTAAAATTGAGGATGATTTGATGTAAATGCATTCCTGAAGCAGCCATGAAGGGCAACTCAAATCAAATAAACACTTAAATAGTGAGGACATCTACGTAAAATATCACTTAAATGTTAAAATATACGAAACCGCATCAGCTCTCAAAGTAAGTAAGTTGAATGGCTGATGAACAGTCAAAAGAAAAATTTTTCTAAAGACTGTAATGAAAATTCAAATTAGAAACTCAGTGAACCAAAGTGAATCCAGCTGTGAAAATAAACTGAGTCCACCTGTGATTTCTAATCAGTCTAATTGCATCAACGTGGTTCTAATATGAGCCGTGAACAGCAGAACTTTCTAGATTTGGACCAACGGACTGTGTCTGTCTATGTCTGCATCATGTCTCCACATGGAGAAGAACTGAACAGAAGAAGTGAAACATCTGAGGCTCAAAATTGCTGAAAATGTGCCAAAAACAGCTTGAAATTTGTCCAAAACAAGTACCAAAAAAATGTTTTAAATGTCCAAAATTACTAAAATTGGCCCCAAATGACTCTGAACTTCTCCAAAGTAACTCAGAATTTGTCAAGAACAAGTAAAAATGGTCCAGAGTGACTCAAATTTTGTTTAAATGACTTAAAATGTGATCTAAAATGACCTGATATGGAAAAGAACTGAACAGAGGAAGAGAAACATCTGACTGAGGGACTGGACAAAGATGGAAAAGGATCCAGAAGATCAATTAAACATCAGTGAACCACAGCAGTAAGCAGGAGATCAAGAAGGAGCCACAGTAGCACTGATCAGGGCTGCAGTGGTCGTCCTTGTTGCTTGTTGCTGTTCAGAACTAAACTTCTGGATGAAAGGTTGCTAAAGAACATGAACAGAAGCCTGATGGATGCTGGAGAACATCCTCTGGTCAGATGGAGATCAATGTGTTGGGCTCACATGGAGTCCAGATGTTTGGTGTGAACCTGACCAGGACCACCACAGTGGATGCATGGTCCTGACAGTGAAGCACGGAGGTGGCAGCATCATGATGTGGGGCTGCATGAGGGCAGAAGGTGTTGATGACGTTTATGTGACTGTGTGGGGTTCCTACTGTGGGCCTGAGCTTTTAATATAGAACATCTAAAACTGGCATTTTTAATTTGACGTCAGAGCAAATACTCTACTATCAGCACAGAAGTAATGTGATTACTCTACAGTTTACATTTAAGTGATGTTGCACAGGTTTGGACTCTTGTCTGCTGTCTACTGAAAACTGTTCCTTCAACTCTCTTCTTCCTACACAAACTTTGCCTCCCCGAGTTTCGGTGGCAGCCATGTTTGTAGTCCTTTTACCTCTACTGGTGATGCTCTCCTGGTTGACCTCGCTCAGGTGGGCCACGCTGCCCTGGTTGGATCCTGACCGCGGACTCTCACCGTCCATCGATGACCAGGCCAGGAGCGTCGCCTCGGAGATGGCAAACTGCTGCAGGATACCTGAGGTCAGAGCGGGACAGGTGAGGAGCCGCATCAAGGTTTAAACAACCCATGAACATTTGGACATTGAGACAATTTTCAGCATTTCGGCACCATAACAATGGATTTGAAATGAAACAATCAAGATCAGATGAGCGGTGTAGGAACTACAACACACTGTATTTGTGTCTTCCACCTTCTTAAGGGACCAGAAGAGTGTTCTTGATCTGGCCAATGGCGCTGAAGGGGTTTTCCTTGACCAGGGAAAGGATTCTTCTGTCACACTTGTGGGCGTTTCTGAGCTTCTTCCTTTTTAAGAATTTACCAAACAGTTGATTTGGCCACTGCTAATGTTTCTGCTGTCTCTGTCTGATGGGTTTGTTCTGGTTTTTCAGCCTAATGATGGCTCGCTTCACTGACAGCGACAGCTCTTCATACTGAGAGCTGAAATCACCAGATTCCAAATACCACACTTGTAATGAACTCCAGCCCTTTTATCTGCTCCTTGTAAATGAAATAATGAGGGAATGACACGGTGTGGGTGGCCGTCGTCCAATTACTGTTGGTCACATATAAAAATGTGTCGTAGTTCCTGCACCGTTCGCCTGATTTGGATGTAAATACCCTCAAATTAAAGCTGAAAGTCTGCCACTCAAAGCACATCTTGAGTGTTTTAACCCTCCTGTTACCTTCAGATTTACTGACATCTGTTATCTTTGGAGTTAGTTTGACCCCAGCAATTTAAACCTCCAGAAAATTATCACAATTAAAGTTTTTCCCCAAGTTTATGTGTAAATAGGCCTTTAAATAAAACTGAAAAAGTTACACTTATTTGGAGATGTTAAACATTGAATGGGGTCTATTGCGGTGGTGTACGGAGCTGAAATGTCCAAATATTTATGGACCTGACTGTAGATAGATAAGATAAGTTGGGACTGGTGCTATTAATTTTGAGGGGAACACATCATTCTGCTGACTGTCTGTCTTCATCCTAGGTTCAGTTTCTGACCTGCGGCGAAGCGAGCCTCCTTCTCGCCGTCGCTGAGGTCGCTGTAGGCGTCGTTCTCCAGCCGCCGCTCCTTCTCCCGCTCCTGGGTGGTGATGCGGGACTGCGGGATGCCGCCAGCTCCCACCGTCTGCATCCCCCAGTTCTGCCACTCGATCATGTGGGCGACGCGACCCTGAGCCATGGCGGTGGGTTTGGTCACTCTTTCTTTCATGGTGCGGGTGACTCCTGGAGGAGGAGGAGGAGGAGGAGGTTAGAGGCTGATACAGAGGAGATCAGGTGAGTGTTGGAGGAAGAGGAAGAGGATGATGGTGCAGACGTCAGCTGGACATGTTGTTATCAGGTGTGCGGTGATGTTGGAAGGTGTGGTGGGTGATGATGATGCCCAGTAGAGGTTTGACTGATAAACTGGTTTGACAACTGGGAGGCTCTGACTGATGATCACCATAGAAGAAGGAGCTGAAACCAGAAGTTTACGTCCACTGAATAAAAAGACATAAAACCTGAGTTTAGTTTTTAACCTTCTGGACCCATCTGCAGGTTTAAAGGTCACATTATCTTTTAAAAAATCTCCAAAATAACACAGTTTAACAGCCTCGAAAACACAAAGAATTGTGGGATTTTTAACTTACTTTAACTAATTGGTTCCATCAGGAAAATTATCTGAATTTAAAAATTTGATATTTGATCAAAATCACTTTATTATCTTGTGAAACACTAAAAAACAAATATATATATAATCAAAACCAAAAACTCAAGATTGTCACAAGATCTCCTGATAGTTCAGTGATTTTAACATATTTCAACATATAAATCTCTAATTTACTCGATTAAACTCCTACCTAGCTAACTAACTAACTAACTAACTAACTAACTAACTAACTAACTAACTAACTAACTAACTAACCTACTCAACACCTCCAGTAGAACTTGGTTGATTTAAAAACATTGGTTTTAGTGTTAAAACCTAAATTGCAATCAGATTAACCCTCTGATCTCCAAAACCCGCTGGTGATCTCAAAAGGCAGGCTATCTTTTTTTTAAAAAAAGACAATAAAATGACACCATTTATCAGCCAAAAACTATAAAAATAGGAAGAATTATTTTGAACTTTTGAATCAAGTGTGAAAAATTAACCAAATCTGATCCTGAAATTGTGATATTTGATCAGAATCACTTTATTCAGCATGACTCATTTTCAAAAAATCAACAAAAATATTTATTTGCAATAAAAAGGATGAAAATAAAACATACTGGATGAACAAAATAAAAGCATCTTGGCTCAAAAACAGCACACAAACATGTCAGAAGCTGCTCGGAGATCGGAGGGTTAAGCCTTATTAGTAATAACGCCTCCTGTCCTGTCTCATAAACTGGTGTTAAAATAAAACTTGAGGGCACACTGAATAACTGAACATCTCTGGTATGTTCGTGGTGAACAAAAATGCAAATTTCTATTAAGACATTAACTATTTGGCAGCTTTAACGAAGACAAACCAGCGCAGAGACTCGTTACCAGTCAAATCCTGCCGCTGAGCTGCGTGTGCTGAAGTGAGGATGGATTATAGGAGCGGCTAAATGACGGAGGTGGCGGAGGTGACGCTCATGAATTTAATGAGACTAAGCCGTCAGCTGTTCGGGGAGGATGTGTCGTGTCTGACAGAGGTGCATCATGGGAAGGAGCGGGTTAATTAGGGTGAGGTGGCTGAGTAATGAGAGGTCGGCTTGTTGACATGATAGTGTTTTCACACCTCGGCTGAGCTGCGCTGGATAAGCAGAAACCTGCCTCCTGCCTTCCTGCTGCTTGTCTCAGAGCTTCAACTCTTTATTTAAAGGAGAAATTAACACCCAGCTGCTCTCTGCTCTGCGGCTTTGTTCCATATTTCATGCGATCAACATGTGATGACACAAACTGTAACTCTGGCTGTTTGATTCTCTCTGATGGTGGCGCATGGAGATGAGCTTGATGAATAAATTATAAGACAAATCTGTAGCGCAGAACGCAGCAGCTGCACTTCAATACACTGTACTGCAACACAATCCACTGCACTCCCATACAGTCAACAGCAGCCACTACGATATCAATTATATATCAAATGGTTCCAAGCTGCATCACCTCACAGTAATCAGATTACTCCTGATTTAACAGCAGAGTATTGTCTCTGGTGTCGGATTACAAATTATCCGTTTAGATTCACGACGTTAAAGTTCAGGCTCCACAGCAGGAACTCAGTAAAGTCCGTTCATCCCTGAGGTTCTTTGGTTCCTTTATTTCTGCTGACAGACTGGATCCAGAGTCCACTAGGTTCTGCTCACATGTTCT